GTGAGGAAGATCAGCCCTGAGCTAACATCCATGCTAATCCTCCTCTTTTTGCTGAGGAAGACCGGCTCTGAGCTAACATCTATTGCCAATCCTCCTCCCTTTTTTTTTTTTCTCCCCAAAGCCCCAGCAGGTAGTTGTATGTCATAGTTGCACATCCTTCTAGTTGCTGTATGTGGGACGCTGCCTCAACGTGGCTGGAGAAGCGATGTGTCGGTGCATCGGTGCGCGCCCGGGATCCGAACCTGGGCCGCCAGTAGCAGAGTGCGCGCGCACTTAACCGCTAAGCCACGGGGCCGGCCCCGAGGACACCACAGTGTTTTAAATGTATTTGACCTTGAATGTATTTTAAACGTATTTGACCTTGAACACGTTTGCCGAGGTCCCCACCCTGGTCCTCACACTTCCTGATCTACACGTTTGAGTCCTGCGAGGGCCCTGGGCCTTTGAGCTTGCAGCTCCTGCCTGTAGGACCTGAAGCTTCTGAATCTGGAAAGAAATCCTGGCCCCAAGGTATTGACTTCCCATCCTTGTTGGCGCAGAGATGGGGCCTCTCGGCCTTCTTGGGTCTTCCCTGTCATTTTTTTTTTTTAAAGATTTTATTTATGTATTTATTTTCCCCCCAAAGCCCCAGTAGATAGTTGTATGTCACAGCTGCACATCCTTCTAGTTGCTGTATGTGGGACGCGGCCTCAGCATGGCTGGAGAAGCGGTGCGCGCCCAGGATCCGAACCCGAGCCGCCAGCAGTGGAGCGTGCATGCTTAACCGCTAAGCCACGGGGCCGGCCCGGGTCTTCCCTGTCTTGTGTGGACGTCTTTGCCCCAGAAACCATCCTTTGTAGGGAGGCCCCAACACGACTCCTGAGCTCTTTATGGCTTTAATTTTATGTTCTTTTGTAACTTTGCTTTCCGTTGAATTCCCCCCACTCCCCACGTGCCGTAGGCCCTTCCAGTCTTGCCCCACAGATCCTCTTCTTCATCCCTTTGCCCTTTTCTCAGAACTCCCAGCCCTCCAGGGCTCTGACGGGGAGTAGCTTTGGCGGGTGTCCCAGTGCAGAGAAAAGGACCGAGGCTGCAGTCCTGGCCCTGGCCAGCCCGTGGGCTTGAGGCCCGTCATTGGCTGCTTTCTGTTCTGGCTTCAATGTCTCTTTTATTTTTTCTGTTTTTTTGACCCCCTCAGGGTATCAGCTTGCCCAGGCTGATGCTGCCTGCAGGCTGGAGACAGGAACTTCGGTTGGTTGCCAGAGAACTGCCAGAAGGCAGCTTCTCAGGTGAGCTTGGGTCCGAGAGTGATGGTTGGGGGCCGGGGTGGCAGGGGTGCCTTTCTTTCAGAGGTGGATGGGTGCTCCTCAGCTCCACTGGCCTCAGCCAAGACCTCAACTTTGACCTCACTCATCGTTCTCCCACCACCTGTCCCATGCTCTTGCCACACCCACTCCCCAAAGGTCAGAGCAGGAGGCAGGAATCCAGCTGTTTTAATGATCTCTTGCTGCATAACAAACCACCCCAAAACTTAGTCACATAAACAATGGCAATATTAGTTATTGTGATTCTGTGAATTGACTGGGGTCAGCTGGGCGGCTGTTCTGCTCCATTTGGTGGCTGCTCGGCCATGCACACAGTCATGGTCATCTGGAGGCTTGACTAGGGCTGGAATGTCCTGGGCGGCCTCACAGACTGGCAGTTGGTGCTGGCTCTTGACTGGGAGCTCAGGTGAGGCCATCCACCTGGGTCCTCCTTCATATTGCCTCTCCAAGTTGCTGTCTTCGGCTTCCTCACAGTATGGCAGCTGGGTGCTAAGAGGAGCATTCTGGGAGGGTAGGCACCATCGGGCAGGTGCTTATCAAGCCTTTGCATGCTAATGTCCCATAGGCCATGGTAGGTCATGGGGCCAAGCCAGTGCGTGTGTTTGTACACGTGCGTGTGTGTACACGTGTGTGTGGTGGGGGGACTACCAAAAAGCATAAATCCCAGGAGATGTGCTTCATTGGGGGCCACCAGTGTGACACATTTGTTTACCAGACAATGGTCATGGTCATTTGGCCCTTCCTGGTGACGGGCCCAGGCTCCCCCCATCGCGTGGCTCCATTGCCAGTGTCACCTCAAGGTCCAAGATGGCTGCTCCAGCTCTCACATCCACAGCAGCAGGAAGGAGGCCCCTTCCCACTTCTTACGTTTGTGCTTATATCCCATTGGCCAGAACTTAGTCACATGGCCACTTTAACTGCAAGGCAGGCTGGGAGTGATGGTCTTTCTTCCAGGCAGCTGTGAGCTCAGGGACTGTTGAGAAAGGGAGAGCAGATTGGAGACAGGTGGTAGTCTTCTGAGACCAGCGTGGCCCATGTCACTGCACTTAGCAGCTGTTTGGTCTCACTTGAGTTCATTGCCCCAGGTTTGCCGAGAGGATTGACTTGTGACGTGCATGTAAAGTGCTTTTCGTCTCCTTACCCACTTCTCCTCGCTCGGGCTTGCCATCCTCGCCCATTCTCACGGTCCATCTTGGGCCTGTGCCTTTTGTCGGTTCTGCTCACATGGTGGTTTCCTTCTCTGAGCCCTAGACTCAGAGTTGGAACTGCTCACGTTCTGACCTTGTTTTAGGTGGCGGGAGGTGGCAGGAAAGCAGAGAGAGCCTGTGTGAGGAAGGCTCCGTGTGCGAGATGCTGATGGAGAGGCTCACGAGGGAAGTTTTCATTTGCCCCTTGACGGGCACTGCCTGGGCGGAGGAAGAGCAGCTGCAGAAGGCTCTGGATCCTCAGGAGGGGGAACCAGGCCCTGTCACCATCGCCCAAGGGCAGTCAGTCATCCGGGAGCCAGCCCAGGACAGGGGCACAGCTGGGGAGAGCCTTACTGTGCCCATAACGCCGGCCACCCCACACCAAGGCCTCGGAAGAAAGAGGCCCGACCCAGAGGATGTGGGTGGCCAGGGCTGTGAGTGTGTCTCCAGCATGAGCCACCACCAGCAGTGCGACGTGAAGAAAGAGCCTGCTGCAGCTGGCCGAGGCACAGGGTCCCTGGCCAGGCAGGCCTGAGTTACCTCTGCTGCGAGCTGCCCTGCAGCCTTCCCTGGGATGGCCTGAGGGAAGCCCTACGCATGCAGTGAGTGCGGGGAGACCTTTGCATGGATCTCACATTTCATCGATCATCTCGGGAGCCACAGTGGCAGGAAGCTCTATGTGTGCCAGGACTGCTGGAAAACCTTCCACTTCAGCCTGGCCCTGGACAAGCACCAGAAGACCCACGAGAAGGAGAAAGTCTATGTGTGGGGAAGGGCCCTGGGCCCCCACCCTGCCGCCTGTGGAGCCCATGCCTGTGGGAGGATTGGCAGGCTCCCGGAGTGTGTGGAAGGTGATGTTTTCCCTATGCAGTCTGAGGCGCAGAGATGAGCCACTTTGCTGTGAGTGTCCCTAGAGAAGGACACCTTTGCCTGCCTGGGAGTCCTGAATAACGTACTGGGCTCCTTTGAGAACCTTGTGTGGCTTCCTATGGTGTCTGTGTGGATGTACGTTTCTAGATGAGCTAATGCGGCTAAAGCACTTAGAACCCAGGAAGGGCCCATGGGAAGCCCTCATCTCCTTGAAAACACAACCATGCAGACGCCGTCAGATGTGAAAGAAGGCTCCGCTTTCTTCTGGAGCCATTTTAGCACCACCCACACGTTGGAACATTTCTCAGTGTGCAAAGTGTAGAGTTGCCTTAAGGAGCATGATCTGCCAACTCTTCCTTGAAGTCAGCCTTGTCTCTATTCCTCCTGTTTGAGCTCCCCAGGGCTGTTGTTCAAGAAGAAATCTTGCCAGGTGTTTTGGCCTTTTCATAAATACGTGATGTGAGGTTCACTTCTGAATCCTCAATAGCAAACTGTGTCCTAGTTGAACTCACATGTTTTTTGGCAAGGAAGATTGACCCTGAGCTAACATCCATTGCCAATCTTCCTCTTTTTGCTGAGGAAGATTAGCCCTGAGCTAACATCTGTGCCCATCTTCCTCTATTTTGTATGTGGGTCACTGCCACAGCATGGCTTGATGAGCGGTGCATAGGTCCCTGCCTGGTATTGGAACCAGTGAACCCTCGGCCACTGAAGCAGAGCGTGCGAACTTAACCACTAAGCCACAGGCTGGCCCTTGAACTCACGTGTTTTTATGTGTATGGAGTGGCTTACCAAGATCACAAAAATGCTTGGAGCCTAGTAATGCAGTGTTTTCAAACCATGTATCTCAGCCCATTAGTGAATTGTGAAATCAAATTAGTGGGTGGCCACCGGCATTACAAAGCAATGAAGTAGAATAAAACAGGTCAAAATTCATCATGTAGTAAAGGCAAATACTGTTTTGTGAAATTTTTCAGCCATGTATCCAAATATAAGAACTGGTTGCAATGTAAAATCTATTTCTTACTGAGTATGGGGGGTTGTGATCAAAACAGGTTGAAAACCCTAATAAAGGTTGATGAGTTCTGTCTGTCTAGGCAAGGGGAACTTAACTCCTTGGGCTACATCAGGTGACCTTTTGATTTTTACATTTATTCTCTGATGACAGCATTGTTTCTGTTGCCTGAGTGTAAACATAACTGCTTCCTGTAGACACAGAAATTGGTGCCTCTTTCTGTCACTGGTTTGAGCAGGCAGTCTGTTGTGATGACACCCAAGTCACAGGGCCTTAACATAATAAAGAATTATTTCTTCACTCACATTAGTCTTGTGGTTCTTGCTGCTGCTCATGTGTTCGTGGGAGGGGAGCTCTGCTCCACATAGTGATGCAGGGATCCAGGCTCCATCCCTGCGGTAGCTCCACTTTCCACTGGACCCTTGGATCACATGGGGAAGGCCATACTCGCTCAGCTGGGAGACGACACACATCAATTCCACGCATGTATCCTTGGAGAGAAATGATCTCATGGCCCTATCACTTGCAGGGTGCTAGAACTGTCTACCTGGGTACCTGTCTCTGCCACAGTCACTGAGCTCAGTTCCCCTCTTAGCCTGTCCTTCCCCCAACCCTAAGTTGGCTGTGGCGCTGATAATAAAAGGAAAAAAACTATATTTGCTCTCTCAACTCTTGTTCCTAGCCTGTGGTACGAGTTCATCTCTCCTGCTGCCACAGGAGGTTACCCCTGGGATGCATCCCACTCTCAGATTTCAGGCCACTGATCATAAAGCCCAGCGCTTCGTCTCTTCAGTTTCCCATCTGATGTCTCAGTGTACAGCTAGATGTGCCTCTTTTGTTTATATTTTTAAATATTTTATTTGGAAATAAATTCGAACATAGAAAAGGCACAAAAATAATAATAATAGTACACAGGTCACCCACACACCCCTCGTCCAGACCCCCCGTTAACGTTTCACCCCACTTGTGGTTTGTGTGCATCCCCCACACACACATCTGGGGAAGCAGCAAGTCCACGTTCCTACTGCTAGTGACGATTCCTTTGCTCACCCAAAGTGTTGCCCAATTTCTCCGTTCTAACTAATAGGTATAATTTCCTCCTTTTAACTAATAAGCAGTCTATGGGGAGACACTTTAAATATCCTGCTCCTCACCAAAATGCCCCCCTAGCTTTAGCCTCCATTGATGATGCCTGAATCAGTCTTTACCTGATGGTTGCGAAGTGCTGGTTAGCCAACACCAGCCCACCCTCCATGTTTACCAGCCAGCCCTGGGCATTCTGCTGCCAGCAAGCACCCTCCCTTCTCTCCACTTACTTGTCTTTATTACCAGAATGGACTCAGGGATTCCTGTTTTCTCAATGGTTTATAACTTATTGTGTCCTTGGTTATTTTGCTGGTACAATTTTGCTCAAGTTGTACCAGATGTGGCCAATGAGAGCCTTCAGGAAGGCTCCTGCATAACTGACATGCCTTCATCTTTTTTTGTGTGTGTGAGGAAGATCAGCCCTGAGTTAACATCCATGCCAATCCTCCTCTTTTTGCTGAGGAAGAGCAGCCGTGAGCTAACATCTATTGCCAATCCTCCTCCTTTTTTCCCCCTTTTTCTCCCCAAAGCCCCAGTAGATAGTTGTATGTCATAGTTGCACATCCTTCTAGTTGTTGTATGTGGGATGCTGCCTCAGCATGGCCGGACAAGCAGTGCATCAGTGCGTGCCCTGGATCTGAACCCTGGCTGCCAGTAGCGGAGCATGTGCACTTAACCGCTAAGCCATGGGGCTGGCCCGCCTTCATCATTTTTTGAAAACTTCCTTTCTTTTAAGTATAGTTAGATGTTCCAAGCTGATCTTCTTTCACCCTGAAATCAGCCATTTTTCCAGTTCCAAAGAACTGGTTCCTTTTAGTGGCGGATGGTATTAGAGACCAATTCTGAG